AATGAGGTTCTAGAGAGAGGCAGGAGTGAGATCATGAAAGACCTGTAGTTCTTGTTAAGGACCTTTGGACTTTACTCGAAATTCATTGGAGGCTTTTAGCAGAGGTATGATGATCCACTTTGACTTCTAAAAATATCATCTTGAGTTCTGGGTCCTGAAGATTACTGGATATAAGAAATGAAGCAGAAAGATCAGTTAAGACCACTTGCAGTAGTCTAGGTAAGAGGTGATGGTTGCTTGGACTTGATAGTGGCAAGGATTTAGAGAAAAGTGGACAGCTTTGAAATCTCTATCAGAGGTCGAACTGACAGGGCTTGGTGATTGATGTATTGCCTGTGGGAACTGAGAAAGAGTGAAGAGTGGAAGAGGACCCTCAAGGTTCCTTTTTGAGCAACTGGATGAATGGAAGTGATAATATTGGTATTAGAGATACTGGCATGACATTGGGCTTGAAGTGGGGATAAGAGGAGTTTTGGTTGTCTTAATTTTAAGATGCCTCTGAAAGGAAAACAGTTGTAGATGACAGAAAATTAGTGAGGTTTTGGTAGGTAATTTAAGCATACAGAGAAACAATGTAATGATGCCCTCCGCAAGTATATCCTATGCTTTTCATTTAGTAAATGTTAACAGTTAACTGTTTTAATCCTTAAATAGAAGCTTGTTACAAAATTATCTTAAGAGAGAAGGGTTAATTTTGTATCTTAAAAAACTGAACATTAGAAGGATTAAAGAAGTATAGGGATGTAGTATCTGATTCATATGATAACTGTAACATGTTTGATAGGAGAATAAAAGATTTTAACTTTGTAACTTTTTTCTAAAGCAGATGATTATTTGGAGCGTTAACTTTTCTAAATGTATGTAGTTTCTGGAGTACAGTTTAGTTACGTAAAAGGAGATATTTAAAAACATCATAGGGTGTTTTAGGTTGTGTAGTTATCTAAATATTATTTCTGAACATTTATTTTTATCATCTGTTCTTTACCCTGATGTTTTCTCTCCTAAAAAGTAAAATTAAAAATTCTGGGTAGAGTGGTTAATTTATTTTTCCTGAAAATACACATCTAAAAGTCAAGTAAGAGGAAAATCTGTTACTTCTGTTACTTCTCTGACAAACTCAGCTCCTGTATATGCTCTCCCTTCCTGACTCCCAGTTGGCATAATTACTTCATTACTCAGACTGTGCATGTGGCTTGCACTCTTTTAATTTGTACCTGTTTGCTATGTTTACTCATGTAATTCCCTCTTTTTATTCATAGTCACTTTAGTGCTCAGAGGGTAAAAGTGGCAAGTTGGTGGTAATATTATTCATGTTGTAGTGAACTCCCACTGTGCTCAAACCCAGGTTGTAACTCTCTCCTGGATGGCTGCTTGGAGGCTCGAATTCTCACTGTATGAAAGGAATTTAAACATTCTATGAGAGCAATGGAATGATACTTGTTTCTGAAGTTCTTTTCACTGTTTTAACTTTTTTTGGTCTAGTAGAATACTTCCTTAGACTTAAAAAATAATTCATTTAGAGACTAAAAAATGTCATAATAAAATAAAATGTCAGTTTTGAAGTAATCTTTAGCTATTGGAGATTGAGGCTGGCCTACTTTTTTAAGAATAAGAAGAGAAAACAATTGATACCTTTTCAGTATCAATTGATACTTTTTCAGTATCAGATAATAGGATTGTGTGATAATAGCCGAGTCACTAAGGTTCCAAATGCTTTTCTGAATTGAGAATTACATGTGAGTATGAACTTTAGGATTTTATGGGCAGATGTACATTTATTTTGTAACTAAACTTAGAAGTTTGGAAATTAAAGCAGAAAATGCTATTTCCCAGACCAAGTATTGAAAATGTACAGAAGAGACATCACAGTTTTTTATAGATAAAAGCTGCTAAAAGCTAATTAGCACTGCAAAGGGCAATAGTAACTGGTGATAATTTACTCCAGTGATCTAAGGACAGGAAAACAGCAAGGTTGACACAATCATTTTATATTAGAGTAACATCCTTATAGCTGAAAGTGACTTTTAAAAACAATTTCATTTTTACAGGCTATTTTTGAGCATTCGTTTGTACATACAGAAACACTTAGCTGCCCATCTGCTTTCTGAAAAACAGGAACAACCTGAGATCTACTGACAGTCGAAGCCCACCTAGAGTAGGTGAAGGAAAAACTCTTTTTATGCAGTTTGTAAAGGTTGAAATAAAGTAGAAATAGGCAAAGGAACAATGTAACCATATTTCTTGCTAGGCAATTTTTCAGTCTCACATGTCTGTATGAAATGAGATAGGATGCTCATGTAAAATAGCACTGTCCAACAGAAGTAAAATATGAACCATGTATGCAATTTAAAAATTTCTCGTAGCTGTGTTAAAAAGTAAAAAGAAATAAGTGAAGTTAATTTTTAGTAATATTTTTAATCCAATATATTAAAAGTATTATTGTTTCATCATGTAATCAATATAAAAATTATTAATGAGCTATTTTACCTTTTTATGGGTGCTAAGTCTTCAAAATCCAGTGTATATTTTACACTAAGAACAAATCTAGTTCGGACTAGTCACATTTCAAGTGCTTGTGTGTCTAGTGTACTGAATTGGACAGCACAGTTGTAGAACAAGTATTTTACTTTTCTCTCCTATTTTCTACAGAGCTCCTCAGGGAGCTCAGGAACTGTCACTGACTGATTTTGGAAGTGAAGGCCACATATTTATGATTTGGTTAGGAAGGGATTGTGGCCTTAATATCCTAGATAACTTAAGTATTCAAGGACTTGGGATAACAAAGGCTAAGGAAGGGTTTGACTTGCCTCCATTCTCTGTGAGCATATGTGTTATGATTGTCCTAAGAATACTTGATTTGTGGAGAACTGAATTGTTAATATCATATTTTGTAGAAAAATATACCTTGAGGAGTTTTCTTTTGCAAAAATATAAGGCATGACATTTTTAAATATGTTTTTTATTTTCTAAAGTAGAAATTTAAAAATAGCCCAACAATTTACTTTTCATAATACTTTGAAAGACTAGAATCATATTCCTTCCATCATAAACTTTTTTTGGGCGGGCAATAATTAAATATGTGTATTGGTATTCATTCCTATTATTTTTTATTTAAAGGCATTTGAAACTTAAAAAAAAAACATTATTACAAACTTCAGAATAAAAGACATTAAGATTTGTTTTTATGTCCTTCAGCTGTATTTATTGTTTGAATATGTGGATTACCTGGAAATGTACATTTATTGAGGTTAGATTTTAATAATAAAAACTTCCTCTTAAATGAATTCTGGTTTATGCACTTTGTGGGCTAAATGAATTAGGCTCTAAACTTTTATCTGAATGTGTGGAGCTTGGATAGAAATTGAAAAGATCACAGCTATGGGGAGAAGACGTATCTGCAAAGGCCTTTCTGCATAGATTATGAACATCATAACAATAATTTTTTCAAAACTATGGTTATAATTGGACCCAATGGGGGTCTCTTCCTTTGATCAGATCACAGTAACTGTGACTTTACACTGGAAAATGTCACTACTGTGAAGGTTTATCACCTGTAGAGCTGGTCTTTCCTCTGATGCTGTGTTCATTTCTCATTAGCATTATTCAAAGTTTCGTTGTTAATTAGGTTGACACTTCAATTACAATCATCATCTACAAGAGTAGTCAGGACTGCTTGCATAAAGAAATAAAAATATTCCTTCTTGCATATATGTGTAAAGGAGAAGTAACATTACTTTGTTATCTTTAGTTGTGTAAGAATAAGAACATGCTCTGTTAAGGAAGCAGTCCAATCCGAATTTGTCCCATCAGTTTTTTTCCTCAAGAAAACAGATTGTTTACACCACTTTGTGTTCCCATGTAAAGCATTGATGAGGAATGTATATGAGCATCAATATTTTTTAAATGTACAGGGTGTAGTTTTTTATTATGTGTAAAAGGAATTGAGTCAAGTGAGTTGGATGCATAGGAACATACTACATCACTGCCCCCTTAAAAGATAAGAATATACATTAGGAGTATGATTGCACTTACCAAATATTCATCTAAGTAAGGGCTGCTCATAAGTAATGTGCATTTTCTAAAATGTACCGAACCTGAAATTAAGGGATGGAAATGTATGAAAAATTGTAACAAATACAGGTGCTTTTTAAAATTACATAGATTTCTAGATAACAAGTTTTTCTTTGATTTAAGAACATTAATATTTTAATTTGATTACTGGTTCATAAGGCAATGACATTGAACTTAAACCCAGCATGTGGTGGTAGAGAAAACTGGACAGAACTGGGTTTAAATGTCAGTTTTAATAGCCACTTATTAGCTATATGGGGGGGCAGATAGATTCATGTCTTTGAGCCTCTCTTTCTTCTACTATTCGTGAATGGTAATATGAAGGCCTTTCTTAGAAGACTGTGTCAATTAAAAGAGACAGTGTATAACATTTGCATAACATAATTCTCTACTCATAGTAGGTTCTCAATAACTTTAACTTCTCTCCCGTCTTTTTATCTAATAATGGTGAAAACTATATATTCAACAAATGACTGGAAAATTACATATGCAAATAAGGCTTCCAAAAATAAAATTAAATGGTAAATGATCCTGGAGGACCTGTAACAAATAACCTTACATAGCAGAAAAAAACGATACCCAACCGGCTTCATCTCAAAACAAGTAGACACATATTGTAATTGCTAAAAATCTGCAGAAAAGTGGCTCACAAGCAGTTTACTGTAAAATAATTAAAGCTTATTTATGTCAAGAGGCCTTGGGGAAAAAAAGAGAGCATAAACCAATTTGCATTAGCACGTTACTATCTCCTGCTTTCGTTTCAATTAACAGACCAGCAGGTGCTCTCTGCAGTTAAAAAGATAAGCTATCAGGAGGAGGATGAATTTTTGGCTGACCTGCAGGCACTGTGGTTTGCCTGCTGATTGGGTTCGTACCTCGCTGTACCAATTTCTGAGGTGTTAATTTAACTATTCCTCTCTCTCATGCAGGTCTCGGCCCTGAAAAGTAAGCTGAAGAAGCAGTCTACAGCTACAGGGGACGGAGTAGCTAGGGCCTTCCTTAGGGCACAGGCTGCTTTGTTTGGATCCTACAGAGATGCACTGAGATACAAACCTGTAAGCGTTTTATTTCATCACTATTTTAATTTGTTTTTTTATGGTTCTTTGGAATGGGGCAGAAAAAAGAAACATTTTAATATCATACCTTAAAAAAATTCTCATAAAGGTCTTTTAAAATCCAAAATAATACGCTTTAAAACATTAGTTCTGTCTCCAATTTCTTGACTTTTTGGTTTTAGTTCTTTTAGTATTTAGGTAATATTTCCCACATTCTTTTGCTTATCACCTTATTTATTGTTCTAAAATTGAAATACTTACCTCTTAACTAATTAGTGAATTGTGCTAATGCATTTTAAAGTAACTACTTGATCTTGTTAAGATCATTAAGAAATTAACCAGACAATTGGGTTCATTAAATTAGTGAGTTTAGAAATCACAAGTACAAAGTGGAAATTTAAAAATATTACAACTTGAAAACTTTGCAATATTTAGAAATTTATTTTCCTAATTCATAACACTTTCCTAAGTGGGCTTTTCTATTTAACATATCCTAGCTCATTTTGCCATTTCTTTTTTGGTTTAATACCCTAAAAATGATTATTATGTGGAATCGTAGCCAAGTTTTTAGATGGCCTAAAAAGGTACAAATCAAAATATATTTGTTTCTGTCTCTGAATTATTGGTTAAGTATGTTAGTCTGATTTTGTGAAAATTATTACACTGCCCTTCCACGACCAGATGAATAAGTTGTAATGGGTAAAAACCATTGAGGTAGTAATAAGTAATAACACCTGCTGTCTAATAGAAATTCCACCATTATTAAGCTGTATAACCTTGACCTATTTCCTTAGTCTCTCAAGACTTTAATCTTATTTGTAAAATGAGAATTCTTATACCTTCCCTGTCTACCTTTCAGGATTCGTGTGTAAACCCTATCATAAACCACAAACCACTAAACAAATGTGAATAGGTTATATCCTTTCTAAACTGACTTCCAAATTAGTAGTTCCCACCCCATGTCTCTTATACCTCTGAGGAGTTATTGAGTTATGGGAAGGAGTCCTTAAATGTATAGCAGATCAGCTGCTGTGTCGAGTTAAGTACATGTGTCTAATTTGCACACTGATCTCTTTGAAATATGTGTATAGTTTTTAAAGCATTATAGAACTCATAGTACTATACACAGTATGCATATCTCACATGGGGGAGTCTTCAAAAATTATTGACAGTTATAGAGTCTAATGGAAACCAGTCATCCATACCACAATAGAACATACTCATATTCAAATTACTGAACATCAATTAAAACATAAAAATGAGTTTGAAAGACAAAATTAGTGATTAATTTTAGTTGTCAAATTTTTTTAAAGAGGGATTGATTTCAAGTTACAATACAGAAGGAAAAGTTACAAGTATCGCTTTGCTTGAATTTTGCCACATTTAAATACTTATTAATCTTTATAAGCTAAATTTTTCATTTTCCTTTTTGAATTTCTCATAGGCTTCAGATTTGAGGAAAGCAAATCGAAGAGAAAGTTTTCTTAAATGATTTAAATTATCAATGTGTTAGGTGCTGGTTGAAATTATAAAAATATCCCATCTTTAATATTAATTACTGTAGTTTTTATAGCTTAGTATTCCCCCCCTTTGAGCTTAATTGAGCAGATAGGGGTACAAGATTTTAATAACTTGGACTTTTTTAAAAAAAAAATCTTGAAAGCCAAATTCTCAGTATCCGTGGGAAAATATATAATTTCATCATAGAATATCTTTTCTGTTTGTTGATCACATCTTGTTATAAATTTATTTGTTAATTTATCTATAGTTTTTCTTTCTATGTGTATTTTCTCCTTCCTTTTTTACTGCTAGTTCTTTCCAGAAGTTGGGGGATAGTATTTTCATTTTCATTCCTTATGCCTTTACATTTCTTTTGACTTAATCTGTGAATGAAAGCTTAAATTTTAGAGTATACTGAATGTATTCAGACAGTTTTTTCTATTTATTTAAAAAAAAATCGTTTTTTAAGGAAAATGATATATTGTGTATAAAATACTTTTTATTGTTGTTTTAGGCATTATCTTGACAAATTACCCTGTGTTCTAATTTATTAAAAGTGCATTTATTTTTATTTTATGAAGTCTTTTTGGATTCATGTAATAGGCATATATCTTTGATATATTTTCTGATTGATGTAAAGAAAAAAGAGCCAAGTTTAGAAGTTACAATTATTTCATAGTTTTGTCTCTTTTCATAAACATATTTCAGTAGTATTCTCTAGCTCTTAGAGTACAACTGGAAAGGGAAAAATTGCTAAATAGCTTTAAATGGATATTAATTCTTTAATTAGGTATCAGATTTCAAAATTTCCTGATTGTTGATATACATATAGAAATGAAGCAGTATTTCCCTTACATTTGACACAATTAAACCTGCAGATTAGGCCTGTGACTGCCCGGGCCTCAGGGTCCTTCCCTGCCCCTTGCATTCAGGGTCCTCGTGGTGGGCAGGTGGTCTGTGTCTGCCTTTCCTTTCCTCCTAAGCTCTGGCCTCAATTCAGAGAACTGCACCTGAGGCTCCAGATGGCCCAGGCTCCTCCAGGTTCCAGTCCTGTATTTATAATGTCCTTTCTTCCTGACAGCGCTTGTATCTTTCTCGCTTTTAATGGCCATCTAGTTCCTTCCTGGTCCTTGAAGCTGTAGTTCGTACTGACCCTTTCTTTCTATGAACTGACTATACTTCCTTTCTTTAACACATTTCTTCTCCCTTTTAAATATATTACTTATTGTAGTTCTTGTTATTTTTACTGATATGAATAATTTTTAATTGCTATTAATACAATAACTGACCATTGAGCACCCACTGGGTGCCAGGTATTGATAGGCCCTTTGGATAAACTCTTCGAAATATTACCCTTTTTGTTTTAGAGATGAGGAAAATGATATTCATAGAGTTTAAATACCCTCACTATGGTTCCTCAGCTAGTAGTGGGACCTGAATTTGAATCTACACTTTCCACAGTCCCACTGTTGCTTCAGTGTGGCATGTTTCTCTTCTATCTGGACTCCATTATTATGTCCTGCGTGCCTGGAGATAAATCTTCGGAACTTACAGTTCTAAGTGAAGATGCATGGCAGGCATTCAGTATACACTTAAGGAAAGACTGAATGAATGATAGAAAGTCTTAGGAATTTACCTAAAAGGAACAGATGGTATAGGCGTCTCATAGTGTATACATAAGTGGGGGAAATAATCTGTGATTCATGCCACCTATTTCCGTTTATGGTTTTGTCCACCCGAAGTAAATGCCACTGGTCAGACTGCCTCTTCCTCTTCCCTACAGTCTTTGATCCTGGGGACTACTGGGGCACCAGTGGATGTGGACTGGGAGGGAAGGCACTCCAGGGTGATTTAAATATTCGTTTTCAAATGCAGATACTAAACATATATGCTGTATACTGCCAAAGAGTAATTTATTTTATAAAATATGCATTTAGAATGTCTGACAACTCTAAATACGTTGTTACTTTTCACATAATGCCTTATTTACACTCTCTAAATGACACACTGGCATGATTGACAAATAAATTGTACCTGTTCTTAATTACAGAGAAAAATATAAAACTCCTTAAAGTTGTTTGAAAGTGACTTAAATAAAATAATGGCTATTTTGCTTTTTTTGGATTTTAGCCAGCAGCAAGTTAACTACGTTTTAAGAATTCAAAAATGTGAGATCAAATTGATGTGCTAAATAAATTGAAGAAAAGTGATGAGAACACAGACTCTAGAACCAGACGGCCTGGGCTTGAGCCCTCATTATGGCACTAACTAGTTATATGACTTGGGGCAGATTAACTGCTCAGTGCTCTAGTTTCCTCATGTGAAAAAAAAAAAAGGTAATACTACTTCTTGGGTTGTTTAGAGGAGGATAACGTGAGTTCATGCATGTAAGTTAATTAGAACAGTGCCTGGCATATAGTCAGTGCTATATGCATATATATATGCATATACATGTATATACATGTATATATTATATATATTTATATAATCTTATATATATATAATATATATATAATATATATGCATATATATAATGTATATAATATATATGCATATATGTGTGTGTGTGTGTGTATATATATATATATATATAAGCTGTTATTATTAAGAATGACATTTTAAAAGTAGTAAATTTGGTAAGGAAAATCCCTTAACACAACTAAAATAAAGTACCCTCTTCTGATCCCCAAAAAGAAAAACGTTATAAATGTGAGAATACTTTTAAATGATGGCATTAAATAACTAATAAAGGGTCATCAGGGGTCAACTAATAAAGTGTACCTCTGTGTATCATTTATGTCACAAGCTATTAAAAATAAAAGTCAAATTTTTGACCAACAGCTAATGCTAAAGAAATGTTTGCCTCAGTAAAACATTGCTTAGTATATCCAAAGGCATATACTTGATTATCCTGTCTAGGAGCGTAGAAGTAACACTCAAATCTTTCCTTTGAATATGTAGGGTGCTGTCATTTGTTTCAATCACTCAGGCTTTTCTGGGCTGCTGTGAGCCCTGCTAATGGATAAAAAGTAAAATTCCTTTTAAAATAAGGATTGGTTAGTAATCTGGGGCTCTTTTCAGCAAGTTGGAAGAGTTGTCCTTCATTTTTTTGGATTATATTCCTTTAAAATATTATCAGTAGGGAGTGTTGTATTTTGTGATTAAGCTAAATCAATTTAAGCACAGGATTGGCATCCATAATTTAAGTGGCCATTCACTAAATCTTTGCCTTAAAGCTTCCATTTAACAAATTTGTAACTGTCACCTTGTTAGAGATTTAAAAATCCAAGTTGTAAAGCACCTTTTACTCACTCCTCACAGTTCATGGTTACTAAAACATGTTAGGCAGCCACTCTTCTCGTTACCCAAGCTCAAGTATGGACCCTTGACTTTAGAGATGGTTGCCACCAATGAAATAAGTGTGCGTATTTGCCTTTCTGATGGAATATGGTTGCTTTTATGGAACTTCCTTTTCTTTCTTTTTATTATTATTATTATTA